GCTGCAAATAAACGTATTGCAAAGCATAAATAATATTTTTTGCCACTCAATGGGTTCTGTTCCATTATTGGATAACTTCCCTAGACTGGACTCTCATTATTACATATACACTATATTATATTTACTGATACACCTTACAGGTGTCTAAGTTGATAAATTCACCAAACACACACGCATTGATACATTCTGAAAGACCCTCGCCATGTTTGAGATAATGCAACAGTATAGCTGAGTGTAGACGCTATTTGCCTCGAGCTAAAGCATTTGAATATTCATATTGATTCATGTTGAAGAATACATTCCAGGTATTCACACAAAGACATCAACTGTAAGGCAAAAATCTAATATCTACAAAAGCAATAATTATAATGCTGAAGTCTATAGAAATTAAACAAAAAATATACGTTTTGATTAATAACAAATATGTAAAAAAAAAAACATAAATCACTGGGGAGATATAGAAAGTTGGTTATGCATCAGAAATCATTTTTTTGGTTTTGGCCACATGTCAGGGGTGACTGTGGCCTCTCATCACCCACATTTAATCACGCCCCTGAGCTATTTTACACATGGAGACTGGGAACATTTCCAGTAGTTTATAATTCAAGTGAGACTGTTTCAATTTTTTCAAGAAATTCAAATTATTTGAAATATTCTTTGATACAAATTTTAAAATGTCTTAACTTCTTAAAATCTCAGTATTTATCACCTTAAATGGCACTTGAAAGCCTTTTTTTTATTTTAATTTTTTTATTTAAAAAAATATATATATTTGACGTTCAAAGCACTCAAAATCAAAGCAAAATTCAGAATACATCCTTCTCATAAATGTTTAATTTGGCACGAGTTCTCGTCTACGCATGTCTGGACAGTACCAAATGTTTTCAGCGCATCTTTATTTCTTACGCCACATTTTAAAATTAAGGCCTTTTCCTTTGAATATTTTCTTTTTGTCCTTTCAAAAGTTCAGTGTCATCTCGGTAATTTCGTTATCGTTTGTTTGTGATGTTTTCATATCCGGTCTTAAATTGGCTTAAATAAAAAAAATAAAAAACAGAAATGTTAAAACGTTGTTAAAAACGGTTTCAGTATTTGAACTTCACTTATAATAAGCAACCCACCCCTGGCATCATCTCGTGTGTTTATTGATGTGCGCGTGGCTACTACGAGTTTGCGCGTGCGATTATATTAGAGTGCGCTGGGAAAGAAAGGGAGAGAGGGATGGAGCTATTTCATTGGCCGAGCCAGTGTGGCTTCCCCTCCTTTGAATGCCATCCTGTATCAAAAAGTATCCCACCGACATCCTTCTCCACTGCTGCCCCATCGATTAGTTTTTGGAAAACACTTAACAAACTAATGACTGTTGATGGCTGATTAATATTGCAACAACAACAACTGATTGGCGACAATATCAAATAGCGATTGCCGCTTAACATCAAAGCAGCAGCCATGTGACGTGACTGGTTGTTGCACAGTATTTTTGGCGGTGCAGATAGAGCCCAACAGATGATAAATAAAGGGTTATATGGTGTGTCGCGCGCTCGCTTTATGGCTCGTCTAATTCAGAGCAGTCGCGTCTTTGAAGGCAGACACTTGGCGTAAATGTACAGTTAAAATATTCTACTCTCGGGTCCCCAGGCGGAGCTCCGACAGTCCCTGGCCTCATTAAAATTTCATCAGCATCCCTGTGAAAGAGGGGGAAATGTTCAGGGGAGTGAGAAAAATAAAACAGAGGGCGTAATTATAACAAAAGGAAACAGCGCTGCCCCTTTCGTTTGGAAGAAAGCCTCTTGTCATATATGGACGCTTCAATGTATAGAGCACGATGTGAGCACGTGTGTCTGTGGCTTTAAGGTAAACTGTTTACTTCACATGTTTATTATATAAAAAAAAAAAAGGGACCTTCGATTTTTTTTTCATTGTGCTGCTGAGGCCTTTTGTGTGTGTGTGTGTGTGTGTGTGTGTGTGTGTGTGTGTGTGTGTGTGTGTTTTGTGTGTATGTGTGTGTATGTTTATAGTGTTGGGCCACATTGATTCGCTATCAAAGAATCCAGATCGATTTTAGCCAAATATGTGAAATAAAGCAGCAGCAGCAGCAGTCTGGTAGAGAGCCTGTCCGTCTGTCTCATTTTCTGTCTGTCTCCCTCCTCTCTGTCTGTCTCCCTCCTCTCTGTCTGTGTGTGCAGGGCTCGCGCTTGTCAAGCAGCATAAAGTTAATTTCAATTCCCGATGAGACCCTCACGCGCAGCCCTCCCTGACCAGCGGTAATTAACAGGGATGGCTAATGACTGCTTAACTCGCTCTTCATAATTATCTGCTTTTCATAATTCGATGTGTAATTTAATAATTCGCTCTTATTAACGTATTAAGTGAATGGCTCATTTAGGGGAAATTAGAAGCACTCACCAGGAGCATCTTTTAATTGATGAACCATCATCGCTGTCTCATTAATAACGCTCGTTTTGATACTCTTCATTTGTCACGAGGACAGCGCTGTTTGCTTTATGGAGCAGTGTCATGGAGGGTTGCTTAACAATTTGAAGACATTTTATCGTAGTTTAAAAGGTAGAGGATAAATATATAAGAAGAGCTTTTAAGTGACATTGAATCAGTTAAATATTTATTAAAATGAAATACGTTTAAAATATTGGTTGGTCTCAGGCTATTTATCTCCTCATGTAAAACTTTTTCAAGACACACTGGAGGCATACGTAAAATTTGTCAGATTTTGAGATAAAAATTAAAATAAATTATACTATTTTTTTTTTTTAATCGATATATATTATTTTACGTTATTTTCAGTATTGTACAAAGTAAATGACCTGCAATTCCTTGTGTAATAATTTTTCATCATACAACTATTTTTCAATATCCAAACATAATCCCATGCAAATGCATTCCAGGTGCTGTAAATGATCAGTGTAAAGGTGGAGGACAGCTTTAAGAAATGCTAATGCTTGGCTCGTGCAGCCTCTCAGGTATCTGTCCATGGTACTGAAACGCTAACTCAGCGCTCAGCCAGTCAGCCAGCCAGCCAGTCAGGCAGCCAGCCCTGAAGCCCACAAACATCAACTCTGCTCCGAACATGACACTCAAAATACTCCCATATTTTTTCCTACCCTCCTCCTCATATCTAGCTTCTTAGCTAAGGTTTTTGCATCAAAGCCTGAGCCGGTATGCCCGCATGCACTATGGAGTGTGTGTTCAAATAGAGACGGGCACGTTGGCAGGCGAGCTGTTTTTCTGGCGGGCTGACATCTGGCAAGTCTGCGCTCCAGGGACCCATCCGGCTCTCCATAGACCTCCTGATTAGACTCTAATAGAATATTAGCATTTGCTCTCAGGTAAGGCCACAGTGAGCTGCATAAGCTGGCAGCCAGGCGGTGGAGGAGCCAGTCTGTCTTTAACATTGGTGGGATAGAAGAGGGTTTCTCCTGTGTGGCCTGCTTTATGAGGAGGCCCGGGGAGAAAGGTGTTGAGTAAAAAAGAAAAAGATATTCTACTTGCAATTGATCATTTTGGTTATTCATCTCTTATACTACTCGGGCATTTGCAGAAAAAGTTAGGGAGTTTTGGTGGGGGTAGTGTTTGTGTCTTGCTAATGGGCACAAAGGCAGTGCCTCCTAAAATCAAATCTAACACCTTTTTACAGCCACAATGTCACGCTGCCTACATTTGGAAAAAAAAAAAATGGCGGTATTGGTCTTCAGCTGTATCCACAACACATCTGTTTAAAGCAGTGCAGCCCACAGCTAAACCGTTCCCATCCTCCTCATTAATAAATAAACAGATGAATAAATAAAAGAATATTAATATGTCTGGATGATACACATTACACAGTTTAGAAAAAAACGTCGGATTAAATGTTAAAGTTTGTTCTTTAATGAAACACATATTGCAGTTCAATAATTAAATAAATTAAAATTACATGGATGTCATAAATTAATAGAATAATTTAACCAGGGAACCAAAAAAAGCAACATACATTACAGAAATAAGTTACCTCAGCTAAAACAGCAATACAGCAAAAACCTGTACGGATATATTTATGTGCATCGACTGGTTCCAATGAAATATTTACATTGTACACGTATACTTCCATGAAGCTGTTTTCTTTTCTCTTCAAGAAAAAACATTTTACTTAAACAAGGTGATTTTTTTTAACAAGCAACGACTTCATAATGATACGCGTATATTTATACAAATAAATAGCAGAAAACGTACACAAAATAATTTAAAAAAAGAGAATACTATCTCATATATATCTCGATTGTACCATCTCAAATGTTCCAAACTAAAATTTGTGACTGTAAAATTTCACAGTCGTTTCCCTTTAAAAGCAGAACAACACGCTTTACTTGCTGTCAGAATTTGATTTTCTCAGGCAAAACGAGGAGGGAGGGGGAATCCCAATAAATATATAATGAAGTAAACATGACCTCACTCAATAAATAGTTCATAAGACACCGGCCCACGCTGGAGTGTAAACTTATTGCAGCCGGCGAGAAATCATATTTTTTTAATAGCGGAAATCCTTACAAGTGACGCACTATGTCTTTATCTCAACATAATGGGGATTCATAATAATAATTATCATAATAATAACGATAAGAAAAACAAACAAACCCTATACCTTAGCCCCAATCTGGGTAGCCTATCTTAAAAATAGATCCCTGACTTTGTTTAAACATGGTAACAAAATAAGTGGCATTAATTACACATTTAGACACAAATGAAGTGTGTGACAAATTATTCATTTACAAAGGGCTTTTTTTTGGCAGTAATTTAATATTAGCTTGGATGTTGTCCCTTTAAACCCCCCTCGTGGACCCTGAATAAACGTCAGACTGCATCGTCACGAACTCGGAGGGAAAATTGCAGCTTATCCTATAAGCCACAAAATATAAACACCAAAGAGAGTCACCAAACCAAGTGCTTTGAGTTCAACTATAGCCCCGCTGTGTGAAAAAGAACCATTTTCATTGGGGGGGGGGGGGGGGGGTGTTGCTGCCTACGCAAAAATGAAGTTGGCCTCATTTGAAATGAATTGTAAGTAAAAATTAAAGCAGAGTCCTGTAAGTCAGTAAAAAGGTGAAGCATAGTAAGTGTGGAAACAGTGTTCTTACTTGCTCTTCAAACGATGCTTCAACTTGACTCCATGTATCCCCTCTCAGCGAGTAAAAGACGTGACTGGGGTTATTTTTTTTCAGTCATTAGTTCAATTTTATGAATTTTTCGAAGTTCAAAGCACAAAGTCATCGACGATTGAAAAAAAGGTGTGTGATAGGACATATGGTACAAATCGTCTTTAAGCAGTTCCCAAGTCTTTAAGTGGGTGTTGGTTTAAAGCGATTCTTAGACGCATGCAGAGTATTTCATCCGTTTCTGTTTCTGTCGCTGGTTGCAAAACCAGACCCGCACTACGTTCTTTTTCAGGTCCAGTTTCTCTGCGATCGCTGCGATTTTCTCCGAGGAGGGACGCGGCTGGATGGCGAAATAGGCCTCCAGTGATCTCTTCTCCGGCGCGGCTATCGACGTGCGCTTTCGCTTCTTCTCTGCGCCGTTGAACAACTCGGGTTTGTTAAGTTTCTCCCTGTGTGATTTCTCCGCTTCCTCCAGCCATGCTTGCAGGATAGGCTTCAAAGCGATCATGTTGTTGTGAGAGAGCGTGAGAGATTCGAATCGGCAGATGGTGCTCTGGCTGAGGGAGCCCACCCCAGGTATCTTCAGGCTGGCTAAAGCTGACCCTACATCCGCCTGGGTAACCCCGAGTTTGATCCGTCTCTGTTTAAACCGTTCCGCGAACGCTTCCAAGTCCCTGGGATCAGCGTCCACGTCGCTCATGCCCATGTGCGATGGTAGCCCGTGGACATGTGCCATGTTGATAGCCTGGTGCATGTGGTTCATGCCCGCCATGTGGGCAGGGTGCGCAGGCGTGGAAACCACCGAGCCATCCGGCCCAGCCATGGCTCCCAGCGCCAGTCCTGGGGTGATGTGGTCCAGCAGGTCCCCCTCCAGCGCCTGGTGGGGCTGGTGGTGGTGGTGATGGTGGTGGTGATGGTGGTGGCCAGACAGGGCGGACGGATGAGAAATAGGCACCGAGGAGGAGGACGACGAGGTGCAGGGCAGAGTGTTCATGGTGTGGTAGGTGGCGTCCGGCTTGAAGGGGCTGTGATGTGGAGGGTGGTGGTGGCTCTTGGTCTGCGAGACTATATCCACCGCCGCGAGAGCTTCAGCTCGGGCCAACAGACTCTCATCCAAGCCTCCGAATATATTGCTCTGCAATTGCAAATAGAATGCACACATAACTGTCAGCAGGGAATTCTCCCTCCACTCCTCGGTTTAAAACATTTCCAGAATGAAAAAAAAAAGAAATCCTAAAAAAGGGGAGCACACAAAACAAGACACATGCAACATCCCAGGTCATAAAAATTAATACGAGAGGCAAAGCCGGCTGAATACATAAGTTGAGCAGAGGAAAAAAAAAAGGTGTTGGGTGATTTGCTGTGCAGACATGAAAAAAACATCAAGCAAAAAAAAAAGTGGGCTGTCAAAATGTGCCTTTAAGCAGTGATTATGCAGAATACGTACCGGTGGGTTTGGGAGACAGGCTCTGCGCATCGCCTCCGAGCTGCTGCCGCTGCTGCTGATGATGGTGCTGCTGTGTCGGGAGGACGAGCACGACGAGGGTGCATTGGAAGTCAAGGTGGAGGACGAGGAGGAGTGCAAAGAGTACTTGGGTTCGGGCAAGCTTGAGTGGGCCATGGCAAAAGCCTGCTTGCTGTTCAGAGACATCATCATCATATTTGCGGGCGTCCGAGCCTCAGCAAGTTCCTTTTAATAACTTAAGACTCCGCCTCCTCGGTGCGGAGTTGAAGCCCAATTGCTTCGCAGGAATCTCAAGTCACTGTCGAGTAAAAGTGTAGGGCTGAAGATGGTCCAACACTGAAGTTATCACATCTATTTATTATAACTAGCGGAGGTCTTTTTGGCCGATGAGATTGGCCATGCAACTGCACGCAGCAGGTACCCTTTTCCCTTGTTGGACTTGTGGCGCGGAAATATTAACCTTTCCTTCTCTTTTTCTCCTCCTTCAACCGTCTCGAACCTGTTTTTTTTTAACAATATTTTTGCCTTGGATATTGTTTTTTTTTTTTTTTTTTTTTTTGCGCAACTCCTCAAAAACGACGCCAGAAAAAAAAAAATTAAAAGTTTCTTCTCGTCTCTTAGGATTTCCAAAAAGACTTCAAGTTTCAAACTGTTGCCGCTTTCGTTGACCTGTTTGTTTCTTTTTTTGGTGAAAGTTTCCGTCTTGAAATGAGCGTAAGTGAGCAATAATGGCGGTGACAGTCTCTGTACTGTACCTCCTCGACTACGTTCAATGCTGCGGGGACCCGAACTGCCTCTGCTCTGAGGCGAAGGGCAGACTGAGTCTCTCTCCGCCTCTCTCTCTCTCTCTCTCTCTCTCTCTCTATCTCCCTCCCCCCTCTCTCTCTCTCTCTCTCACACACACACACACACCCTCTCTCTCTATCTACAACTCCCTCTGAGTCTCTCACCCTCTCGCATACACACACTGTTTCCAGCTGTACCTGAAAAACCCTTTCATGATTTATTATTCTTCATTAGCCCCACCACCACCGCCGCCGCCGCTGGGGACTTTGCGCATGGGCAGTGTGCGACAAGGCATTTATTTCAAATGACTCTACTTTTTACCACCAACACCTTGTTACAGCCAGTGCGTCTTATTAAGCTTATCCCTTTTTTTAAAAAACGTCTATTTATCGGTTTGAATTTCTGTGTTTATCATTTCTGTGTATTTTAAAATACTGCATCTTAAATATTGTAAACAGGTTCAAAATTATTTTCGAAATATAATCCATCTTTAAAAAATAATTGCCTACCATGGATAGCTCTACTACGTCTGTGAAAGTCCATTTACAAATTGTTATCGTACATACAAAAAAATTCAGCCTCCCGGTATATTTGCATTTATTGAACATAAGACCTAGAATTAAAATAAGAAATAAAAAAAGCTCATCTTATTATGATTGTCATTTGCTCAAACTGTATACTTATTTCTAAATTTAGCCTAATTAATAGCAAAGGTCAAACATTTTTTCTTTTGTTCCAATGAAAATTTGATTAAATTTGGAAAAAGAAATTAACAAAAAAAACGTGAAACATGAAAAAAATCCGTCTTTTGTATAATTTTAAATCGTTTGATGCGTGTTGTCTCACACGCAAAAGACCCACTGCAGTTACGTAATGAGTGACGATAAAAGGAGATTTAACCAAATAATTAGCACCATTTTATTGGAAATATATTTACTTGTCATAGCAGGCTATTATCATATCTCTTCTCTAATTAAGCCACATCATCTCTTACATGATTAAAACGCTTCATCTTGTTGTAATAAACGAGGTGTTTAATCTGGTAATTTAATACGGTCACGTCTTTAGGGTGAGATTATTGTTATCGTGTAGGTCTCTTGGAGGTTATCTTATGGAAACAATAACACTTGTTTTCTCCTTCTGTATGGCTGTAATTTTCAAAACACACCTCACTCTCGCTCTCCCCACACGCACGAGAAGGTGTGACATCTTGTAGCACTTATGGAGCAGTGCTTGACCCCTTCATCACCTTTAATGTGTTAATAATATAGACTACACGGCTAATGGTAAAGCATTCAATTGCACGTTTCACTGGAGCTTATTATGCATGATCTTCTTCTAATTATGAGCGTCACATGTATGTCTCTGTATGTGGCCACTGCGTGCGTGCGTGCGTGCGTGCGTGCGTGTGCGTGTGTGTGTGTGTGTGTGTGTGTGTGTGTGTGTGTGTGTGTGTGTGTGCGCGCACCACTGCAATAAAAAGTCTGACAGCATTTATATCGAGGCTACCGATGCTGCAGCGTTAACGTGGCGGCTCACGCGCTCTCATGCGCACGCGGTGTTTTTGAGAGCGTCAAGGTGTCAGTTCCCGTTTTTTCCCCTTCTTTTTTTTTTTATCTTGATACACGTTGACTTTTTCCCATATCTCTCAACGCCTGTTGGTGTTGCAAAATAGAGTTTTACATTACATTTGAGCCATGAAGCTGCAGAAATATGTTGCCTCCCCAGCGGGGGGAAAAAAAAAACAGGCGCTGCTGCAGCCACCTCCTACAGACACCAGGAGACAAGGGATCAGGCTCAGGAGACATCAAGGAGCAATCAGTGTCTGCTCACATATACCGACAGACTGATTTATGATGAAACTTTAAAGAAATCATTTATATTTCACCACCTCTAAATTGGTGTATGAAATTTTCATCCACAATGAAACACACACAAAAAAAGTATATCTTAAGTCAAATAAATCAATTCACTTGCTCCAAAGCAATTGACTTTGAAGTACATTTTCAGCACTTTTCCTGTGTGTTCACGTACCTGAGGCTTTCACTTCCCATGCCAACAGCTCACTCAACGTTTGAGGGAGGACAGTAAGTCAGTGTGATTAACAGAATTACCTTTGAAGGGTCTGAAATGGCTAATAGAGACACAGTGATGTGACAATCCTGGATTTTTCTGTTACAATCCCAAACCCTTTTTAGCTTTTATAGGAATGATAAAAAATATATATATATATATATAATGTATTTTTTTTAAGTTTGTATTTTCTTAAATGTGTTATAATAGCACATAATATGCAAATTAATAAATAAATAAATAAGTCAAAAATAATTTATGACCAACAGAAAAACAAACACAGAGATATTAATGACATTTCAGTATTGTTTTAATTTCCTTTTAACAGAAAAATGCATCTAAAAGATAAACACTCAACATCTTAATATTAAGCTGGCTTTGAGCTAACATTTCCCCCCAAAAAACTTCTGCAGTGTCCGCAAAAATACTTAAAAAAAAACGTTTCTGGCCTCAATTTACGTCACCAAAACGATACAATAATCGGAGGGAATATTACTATCACACAAAGGCTTGTCTCAATGCTTGAAGGTGCATTCATACCTTACCTTTCAAATACAGAAACTCTCAGTAGAATTGTGAAAAGAAAAGAATCGCCTCACTTCAAAGAGCTGTACTACATATAAATAAATCGGCACTGCCTAAAAACAAAAGTAAAGCCCAGGCAAAATAGAGAGCGCACATGCAGCAGAGCTTGATATAACTCAGGTGACTTGTTTGCTTTTTTTTTTTCCTCCTCACTCTCTTACTTCCATTCGAATCAAGGCGTGCTGCAGAGGTGCCTGTGTGCTTTACACAAAGACATACTCCTCTCAGTCTCCCTCAGGAGCTCTCCACGTTAACAATCCCAATTACACCGAGACCACCAGAGACAGCTGTTTTTATTACAGAACCGCTCCTTTGTGCCGCCAACAAGGTATCCTCGCTCCTGCACTGAACACAGAGAGAAAGCTGCACTGAGAGGAAGAGAGAAGAGTGTGGAAGTGAAGTGGATGTCTCTAAGCAGCTCACAGTGCTGATGCCTTTATTCACAGCTTCCCCCTCCCCTTTCTGATCTAGTGGAGCTCTTTACAAGTCAGAGCAGAAGGTCAATGCTTGTTGGGAGAGGGTCTACAAAGAGATCAGTTTCTTACTCAAGGCAACAGCAAATCACACAGAAAAGGGAAGGGGGGAGGGGGGGGGGAGTTTTATTTATTCATCTGGTTTACCTGGGAAATGTGACAGGTTCCAGGAGGAACATTGTGGCTTTAAAGTGTTGTTTTAATGCATACAACAAAAAGATAGAAGCCTTCAGGATTTACTAAATGTCACACACTGTACTAGAGCTTGTGTAAGGAACAAGTGGATCAACACTTAAGAAAAATGGAAGAGGTTTATAAAACTGCAGGAGCAACTCAGCTTGTATACAGACTGTGAGATGGTTTTCTGTTTGATCTCTACCTGTGGCAAGAGAAAAGCATCAGCAGTCTTTTACACATTCCAGATATCTGTTGGTTTGTGTGTTACTTTTTTATAAAATACACTTTACCTAGCAAAATAATTAAAACCTGAAATGTTTTGGTATCTAATGGTCAGGCAGATTGTGATGACACTTTAGGCCTTTTGTCTGATTTAAAAAAAAAAAAGGAATATGGTTGTATTTGACGATTCTGAAGTGCACAGTGTACTTCTTCACAAAAAGCAAGTGGAAAGAAAGATGCTGAGGATGGTGTGTTATTAATGCTGGCTTTTCTTTTATTAACTGTAACTATGATCTTTCTTCTTGTGTAATAGAGTTAATGTTGTATTTGGCCCCCTGATGGCAGTGTTACAAGACGTTTACTCATTGACCTCACTTTATAAAGTTTAGGGCAATCCTCTGCGAAAAACAATTGCACAATGACACAGAAGCAAATTCTAAATGTATTCTGAGTTATGTCTGCAGATGCAGACACTAATAAATGACCATGTCCCTCATTATTTAACTCTCCAACCGCTCTAGAAGGAGGTTGTAAGTGTCTTAGTAGCCTAAGGCGCCACTGTCCTACCAGTTAGCTGCTAGCTCTGCCACTTATCCCTTATGTTCTCTGTAGTAGGTTTATCAGAGGGTATTTTAAAAAATGCTGCTTCTTGCTCTAACAATGCTGGTGAGAGTGTCTAGAGGAAAGTAAAAGAGTAAAGTTCCTACCCATTCAGTCATCTTAAAAACAAACCTGAATTTGCTGCTCTTCACCAATACAAAGCCATTTAACTCATTATTGATTTAAACATGTATTAGTTCAGCTCTTACCAAAGGTTTAGTTGTTTGTTAATTACAGTGTGTTTACCATAACGGTTATCTTCGCTTCGCTTTTACCTGTAATTGTATTTTGCAGATTAGTAAAAATATATATTTTTTTTCATTTTCGAAATTAGAAATTACAAAAGGTTGGCAAGGTATTATACATTAACCCATTTAATCTGAGCATTAGGTTGAAACTGTTTGTTGTGCTGGTTGGGTCGTGGACACTTTTTCTCTACATGATCATGGACAACTAAACTTATTTGGACCACAGTATACGATAACCAACAGCAAAGCCAGCTAACCTGATCTAGTGTATCCAACCTCAGGCCATGACCGATGAGAGACCCATGAAAGTGAGGTGTGCAAAGAGGTCAGGAAAACAAATAACACCGCCACCAATTTCCC